GGCTGCCCAGGCAGCTGCACCCTGCGCTCAGGCAGCTCTTAAAGACATAGCGGGCCCCTCCCCGGGGGCCGCCCCCCCTGCACCGCCGGACCCCTTGCCCTCCCACCCCCACTCGAGCCCTCAACGCCCCGTGCCCCGCCTGCTCCCCCAGCCTGACCCCTCTGCCCGTTGTTCCCTCCTTCCTCCTGGGCCAGGCACCCGCATCTCGGCCCTGCACTCCCTTGGACCTGACTCAAGCCCCTAGCCTTGGTAAGCTCCTCAAGAGTGCCCAGGAGAACCCAGTCTTTAAAAGCCAGTCTCCTCCTAAATGTTAGGCGAAAACCTCTGGAGCCCTTTATTAAGCTCCTGCCGCCAAGGGGCTTCCAGCTAGAGGGTGAGAGGGAACAGTATAGAGGTTAGAGGGTCACCCCCTAGAAAGACTATGTTAAAGGATAAGGGAGGAGAGGGTACAATTCTACCCCCAAATGAGGATGCCATCTCCAGAGACCACACCCCCACTAGGGGTTGGAGACAGCTCCCCTCCCCCCATCAAGGACAAGGGCTTGATTCCCAAGCAAGCTCCTGGATACCTCAGCTCTAGCAGCAGGGGTGGAGGCTGGGAGAAGCAGGTGGGTGTGAGAGGGGCGTGGAATCTATTATTGCTTGTCTTGTCATCATCTCTTCCATTGGATAGCCCACCCATCCAGGAGAGCAGAGGTCTGCGGAAGGTTCTGATACGTAGAAAAGGTACTCTACCAGAGAATACAGAGGGTTTGTCACCCCCAGAGCTCAGTCTGTCTCCCAGTGAATATCACACCCTGGAGGGGGAGTGTGTGGCCGTTCTTCCTAAACAGTCTGCCTTCCATTCCTCCCCCTTCCCCAGCACACCGTCGGGCCCTGCTCAGAAATGCACGCCTGTCCTAATGAGCTCAGGGTGGCCTTGCTGCATGCCTGGCTGAGTTGTCTGATTCTCCAGTAGGACAGGAAGAGGATCCCACTGATCTCCCTCCTTTCAGGACCTAGTACAGTGCCCTCCCCTGAACCAGTCATTAAGTATCATGCAGTGCCCCATGATTTAAAAACCAACCACACGGGAGCCAGCAGGTGGTGTAGTAGTTAAAACGCTGGACTCCCACATGATCGACCGTGGTTCAAGTCCCAGGTCTCGTAGCTTGAAACTCATGCTGGGTGTGAGTGCACGTGTGCCCAAAATCTTGAGAGCAGAATGGAGGAGAAAGGAGTTCAGTGTGGCCCTCCCCCTAGAAGGGTGGCTTCTCACTTTCTCTGTCTCTCTCTGTGTCTCCAGCGAGTGCATGTGCCTTATAGCAAAAAATCTCTCTTTAAAAAAAAATAAAAAAGAAGAAGAGCCACGCAGGCTTCTTGGAGTTTCTTAAACAAATTAGAGGGAAAATGGCTTCTGGGGAATAATGCTTAAAGCCAGGGTTTTATAAAAAGGGAGCCCTGCTAACCAGACTCCTGGAGACACTCCATTTGATAATAGTAACAGCAAGCTACTCAGTGCCAAGCACTAAGTACTCTGATGGTGGCAGCATGTCCAGGCCCAGGCCAGGCCAGCAGGTGTGGTCATTAAGGGGCTAGAGGCCCACATGGCTGACTGTGGCTCCAGTCCTGAACCCAGCTTGAAAATTACGCTGGGCACCTGTATGTGTGTGCCCAAAATCCCAGGAGAAGAGTGGAGAAGAGATTTTGGTGTGGCCATCCCCCCTGGAGGGAGATTTCTCATTTTCCCTCTCATTCATATTCTCTCTCTCTATCTCTGATGAGCGCACGCACCCTATGCCAAAAACCTGAATAAATAAATAGTCAGCATGTGTACTTCTCTCAACCACCCCGGGAAATAAGTACTATCTTCAGCTCCATTTTACAGATGAAAACTGAGACTGGGACAGATCAATCCCTAGCCCCAGGTGACAGAGCCAGAGCTAGAACCCAGGAGTGTGCAGCTCACTGCACTTTAAAGAGTTCCAGGCTTTACTACATACATAGAGCGCAGATGTAAACGCACACCCCAACACAGCGAGACTGGGAGATCCACTGTGCCGCCTTAAAAAGTATAATCCAGTCCCAGTCCCACCCCAGTCTGGGCCCAGCATGGCCAAGACAGAGTGAGCAGGACTGGAAAACTCCAGGACGGGTCCTGGCCACGTCACCCACAGGGTGTGTCGGACTGTCTAAAGCCCATCGGTCAGGGCAGAGAACTGGCTATTGCCCTCACCTTCACCCTGAGGAAAACGAGGAGCCCAGAAGGACCCTACCTCTAGTCACTGGACAGATGTGTATGGGGTGTCTACTGTGTGCCAGTCAGAGGGCAGACTTCCAGGAAGGAGGTGCGTGTGCAGCGAAGGCAAATCCCCCAGGGGAGGAATGGGGAATTGGGTGGAGGCGGGCACTGTC